CTTTAGCTTTACCCGATGTTATTGTCGCGGCTTATTCGTCGCCGGTTGCTGGGGTCACGGGGGTACTCGAGGACCTCGTACGCAACACTGAACATTATTTTTAACGTATGGTCACACCCATAAGAAGGAAATAAAAAACACCATACGGCATCAAAAAATTGAGGTTTAGGCGGAAATTTTGACGCTTCGAAAAAAATTTTATCTTGAAAAATAAAATGCGCAGGGGGGTGGCTGATTTGAGAAAGAATGCCCCATATATATAATTGTATACAGGGTGGACCATTTTAATCCATCCACGCGAATATCTCGTCAGGTAAGCAAAATAGCGAAAAATATTTCAGACAAAAGTTGTATGGTTTTGAGGGGGACATAAGATGGTGTCATTAGTTCAACCTTGAATAATTGTATAAAGGTCACTTTTAATTTCTTAAATGGGACGTCCCATTTTTTTATTGCATATTCTTGTAGCACAGCTCGAGAGCTTTCCAAAACACTATAATTAAGTTTATTTTCATTAAGTACTTTTCGAGTTATAAGGCTTACAAGGGGTGGCACCCAGTTGGACACGGCTCAATTGGACACGAGCCACTAACAGCGTTTGAGACTACAAAGCTCCTAGGCACCTGGTCGCTGTGATTGGTGGTGTCCAATCGAGCCGTGATCAATCGGGATCACCCCCTTACAAGTTACAGCACCGCCGGTATTAGCATTACCCAAGATGTCCGACCGACGACTAAAACCTCTTAAATGTTGTTTAGGATTATGACCTGGATAACATTTGTCAAGATCCAGATCTTCCGCCACAAAGTTGTTCCATCACATCGTAATATGAAAAGGTCATGCGTTCGACACTGCTAATGTTGTTGTTGCGTTTACATTTAAAGTACATCTCTTTTAAATGTTTTAATTTGGTTTTCATTTGTGCGCCCGTTTTAATAAAACCCATTACTTTCATTTTAGGTTCTAATGATTCATATATATCTATATGTTTGTGACGCTTTCCGTCCATTAATTGGATTATATTCGTTTTTCGATACATAGTTTAATAAAAATTGTCGTTTCCATGCCCATCCAGTTCGATCCTTTTATTTTTCTCAAATTTGCATTATTCAAAGATTCATAGGAGCATTCTTTGGGTTGCTTATCTAGTGGTGAAAAAGTTCTTATAATATTTCAAAATATTTAGAAAAAGTATCATATATTTTAAATTTATATCTCAAAATATTTAGGAAAAGTATCATATTTTAAATTTATGAAGATTTCAGAAAACAATATCTTAATTTTTTTTTAGATTTTTTCAGTTTTTTTTTTTCGGAATATAAAAATACAGTAATACAGAAATTCTGAATAATTCTGAAATTTACAAAGATATTCCCAAATTATATGTAAAATTCCTAAATTATACGATTCTAAGAAAATTCTAAAAAAAATTTTTACCAGGTAGAACTCTAATTGTGGTTATCTGATTATCATCATGAGATTCAAGAATAGGAACAGAAACAGTAGTAGCAGAAATAGGAATAGTTACTGAACACAAACTCTTTGAACTCTTCGAACATGATCCTTTAAACATTTTTTAAACTTTTTTATCATGATATATGTCCATTACCGACGACATGACTTTTGTCAATTTGAGATTAACAAACGATGGTTGTAAGTAACGCGCATTTACATCGAAGTTACAGGCGGCCTATTTCAAGTCAGGCCACCAAAAACCGATACCTGACCTACAGCCATTTTATTTTTGTGACAGTTGCATTTAAAATATCTTTTTTTTCATGAGAAAAAACTGAATTAATTAGGACAATATTAGAATAATCTATTGAATAACTTGTTCAATAAATTATAGTTACCTCAAGTTCCACCATTTGAAGAGCTTCATCAAATCCTATTGTCAAGTGTTTACAACGAGGAACCTAAATATTAATATAATAATTTAGGTCGAATTTGGGATATAGGCCGCGGCTTAAATGCACGGTGTAAATGTAGCCTGTGACTCTCCGGAGTGCCCTTGTGGCGACCCAAGACAGGGCATAAACCACATAATCTTCTATTGTAGATTATGCACAGACAAATCCCACAAACTTTGTGCATACCTCAAAAAACGATTCCCTACATCTATTGATATCCACTGCATGATAAATAACCCCTCACTCACGTTGTGCCCACTGATAACCGCCTATCTCAAGTCATTGAAACTCAATATTTAATTTGTATTTCGCGGTTATAGACATGAAGGGCAGAGGGGCTTTAATCCTTTGGTCTTCCAAGGCTGCGTTCAGATACTACATTCGGGAGCATCCAAGCTCCCGAATGCCGTTCAAAAACCAATTGAGAGTATTTCAGCGTTACCTAGATGGCCCGTTCAGAAACGTGTCGGGTGTTCCCGATCGGGAGACTTTTGCACCCTGCTCTTTTGTTAGATGAAAAGTCTCTCGATCGAGTTGGCACACAAAGCGCGGGAAGCGAAACATGGGCTGCGTTCAGCAGACTCAGCAGTTTTGCAACTGTTTTGTGATTCGTCGCGCTGATTGGATTATACTTTTAGATTACAAATAAGAATTTATTAATGCAATTTAATAATGAAAATCAAATTATATTGTGGAATCCTGAAAGTAAGTAAAATATATTTTACTAGATCGATTATAATTTACGATGAAGTACAATAAAGGTTTTTTCGTCATGTTGCGTATGAAGTCCCGTTAAAGTGTAATAACTGTATAATATTCTTTGATAAATCAATTTGTTTGCAAAATATTTATCTTTAAACGTAATTATAATTAATTGAATATAATGTCTAACTTCATTGCATTTATTTGCACAAAACATTTAATATTAGAGGTTGACCTTGTTTACAGGAACACTTGATACGCGTATTAACTAGTAAATGTCTATTAAATTATCTTAATTTCGGCAATGCATAAAGAATGGTGTACTACTCCGTACAGTATGTATCAAAATGATTAATTAAATTAGTCATATCATGTATATGTTTACATGTTTCGCTGAAATTAAGATAATATAATAGAAAGTTCACTAGCTAG